GTGATGGATGCAGAACAAGTGGCCTTGCAGGTCCACAGAGAGATCAGCAGCGAGGCAGGAAAGCACCGAGCAGGCTCACATGGGGTTTAAAGGTACAACCAAGGCCCCAAAAAGGGTGGCCCATGAGCCTTGTCTGTCAAGATGGGGAGAAGCACACAGAAGAGAAATCGGCTACAAAGAGCCAAAAAAAGGACCCATGGAGACACTGCTGTTGAAACAACAGGGCAGAGCAATGTGCAAAAGCCTGGCTTGTTCCGCCAAGATATAGAAACAACCCAAATGTCCGTCAACAGTTGAACTGATCAAGAAAATGAGGTATATATGTACAAGGAAATAGTATTCAGCCTTTAAAATGAAGGAAATCCTTCCATTTGCAACACCACAGATGAACATGGAGGATATTATGCCAAGTGAAGTAAGGCAGTCACAGAAGGACAAATACTGCATGATTCCTCTCATATCTAAAGTCCTCAAAGGTACAGAAGTAGACAGTAGAATGGTGGTTGCCAGGGGCTGAGGGGAGGGGGAAATGGGGAGCTGCTGAATAGGTGGAAAGTCTCAGTTATGCAAGACAACTAAGTTCTAGAGAACCGCTAAGAACCATAACACCCACAGTTAACAGTAAAGTACTGTGTACTTCAAAAAATGTTTAAGAAGGGGGCGCCTGGGTGGCTCAGATGGTTAAGCGTCTGCCTTTGGCTCAGGTCATGATCCCAGGGTCCTGGGATCGAGTCCCGCATCGGGCTTCCCGCTCCTTGGGAGCCTGCTTCTCCCTCTGTTTCTCTCTGTCTCTCATGAATAAATAAATAAAATCTTTAAAAAAAAATGTTTAAGAAGGTAATGTCAGGTAAGGTGTTCTTACTACAAACCAAACAAAAAACAAAGGGACACAAGAAAACTTTGGGGAGGTGATGAGTTCATTACCTGAATCGTAGTGACAGTAACATGAGTGTATGCATATGTCTAAACTCACCAAACTGTATACATAATGTGCAGTTTGTTTGGTTTTTTTTGTTTACCAGTTATACCTCAATAAAGCTGGGAAGAAAAAAAAAAAAGAAGTCCTAACCATTTCAATGATGAGACGAATGCAGAACCACTTATAAAAAGGTGAGCGTCGGAAGCCAGGAGTTCCAGTTGAGTTAGAGGATTAGCTAGTAAGTAGGAGCAAGATCACCCTGCCAGAGGGACACACAACACAAGAGCAGAGAGGTTTGTGTGGGCATACAGCGAGGTGTGGCATAGACCCTCTTCTTTTATCAACTTTCTCAAATGCACAGGATTAAGTGTAGAGAGTAACATAACAAACATCCATGAATACACCCTTCAGGCTTCCCCAACATTATCATCCCCACTTCCTTCTTCTTCATATTATTTGCTCGTTTTTTCAATTGCGTTGTCTTTTTCCTAATTGATTTGAAAGAGTTCCTTCTACAGACAGAATGCTAATCCCTTACAGTAAATGCATCTCAGATATTTATTCTAGGTAGTAATTTGCTGTAAACTTTATATAGTGTCTCTGCTCTTAAAGAAGTTGCTAATATTGGTGTTTAATTAATCAGTCTTTTCTGTGGCTGTGTGTGTGTCTTACCTTGTCCTACCTCAAGGGCATACAGAAAATCTCTTCTATACATTTTAATACCTTTCCCTTCATTGTCGTTAATTCTGTTGGCATCTACTTGTGTGTATGATGTGAGGTAGGGATCTCATTTTATCTTTTCCCATGTGGACAACCAGTTGCCCTACATCACTTCCCACCTGATCAATAACATATCTCTGCCACCTCCTGGGTTCCTGTGCATGGGAGAGTTTGTTATCAGGCTCACTATCCTGTCCCATCCTCCCTACACAAATATCACACAATCTTAACCATAACGTTCCATCAAGAATCTCACCACCTCACCCTTATGCCAGCTTCCCCTAACATTCCAGCATTGTGTTTTCTTTTAAGGTCTAGTAGCTGGGAATTTCACTGCCTTCTTTGGAGCTTATACTTTAGAATCATTCTTGGTCAGATTTTGCATAGCACTTGTACGTGCAAGAGCATGCAGACATCATGGCAGGGAACCATTTTCACAAATGCAACATCTTCTAACTTCACAGATTTTCTGAGACTTCCCATGATTTAAACATAGCTTATTAATTCTCCCACCATTTCTTCAGGAAATCACTAGTTGAGTTTATATACAGTTGGCCCTTGAACAACATGGGTTTGAACTGTGTGGGTCCACTTATATGTGGATTTTTTTTAAATAAATACACTACAGTACTGTAAATGTAGTTTCTCTTCCTTATGATATTCTTAAAAACATTTTCTTTTATCTAGCTTATTATAATACAATATATAGCACATATAACATAAAAATATGTATTAATCAAATGTTTATGTTATCAGTAAGGCTTCCAGTCAACAGTGGGTGATTAGTAGTTAAGTTTCTAGGGAGTCAAAAATTATACGTAGATTTTCATCTGTGCGAGTGTCGGTACCCCTAACCTCCCATTATTCAAGGGTCCACTGTGATTACAAGTCACATATCCTGTAGGGTTGATATCATAGGACAGTGAAGCCAAGGATTTCATTCTCCCGGGGGGGAAAAATAGAACACAGCCCCAAACTTTTACAGTAAGTGGAAGCATATTCACCAAGCTATTCTGTGAGGAGATGCCAGGCACAAACTCTGGGTATTAGTATTCTGATGTTACAGAAGGGTTCATTTGCAGTAGAAAAAAATAAATAAACGTGGGTCTCTTCTCTCTGCAGCTCTCCTCACAGAGATTCATTCTAGCATAATTGACATTTAAAAATATCCATCTCATTGCCACTTTTCTCTCACAGAAGAAATATGCTTTTCTGCAGGGAAGCTGTAGAGAATTGTGATGAGCATATTCACTTAAATGGCAGTCCCATTACACCGCAGATGGGTGAGTGCAATTGAAAGAGAGCGAGACGGCCTGTCTATTGCAGCTGATTTTGATACTCTAATAGGATTTCAGGATACATAAAGATCCCACTAGGTCTTTTTTGGGCTCAGGAGAAAAAAATACCTTATATCTTAGAGGCACACATAGAATTACCCTGCGGCTCCATCAGAAGGCAATGACAACCCCAATTTCATTCAGATAAACTTCAAGAAGCCAATTTCACGGCGGACAGTTCCTCGAGGACCGACGGACCACACTGGCTCTTTGACTTGGGCTCCCAGAAGAACAGAATTTCACTGCAGTTTATGAGACCCCTTCCCCATAAGAACCTCTCTCTTTACAAGCTATCCTTGCTGCCAGTTACACATGAAATCTCCTCCCTTCCCAGACTCCCCCAAAACTCTTCAGCATTGTCACAGCTGAGGGCAGGTGACGCACCTCCTATATTTGAGGCTGACAAATGTTTACGAGTCTAAAATCAAAAGACCTCGGGATGGAAAAGGCCTCGCTGAGAGCACAGAAGTAAATTCATAAACTTTAAAGACCAACAACTGAGGTCAAGTTCAGAAAAATGCTCATTTATTCTTATGCCCAAACGTATTACAAGTCAAGCAGTTCCTCTGACATTTCACCCTCTGCTTCCTTGGATAGGGGTCAATTATTCTAACTCTTAAATGTCTTATGAATGTGCCCCCCTCCCGACCCCCAAAGCCACCGCAGAATCCATCCAGGACATCTATGACAAGAACACCCCCCAATACGATGGGAGGTGAATTCTACCCGTGCACAACACAGGGCTCATGGGTGGCTACCTACACCAAGGACAGAGGCTGCATTAGAAATTGAAATAAATGCAGCTGCCTTGACTTACAAAAGAAGGCTCTTTCAGTAACCCTAAACAGCAGTCCTTGCATCCTTCTACCATCCCAGAGGCAAGACAGTGGTTTGAGACCCAGGTCTTAATGCTCCAGTGTCCCAACCCTGCCCCTGCTGGTCTTCATCTTTATCCTCAGAATTGGCACAGAGCTTCCCCACCGGGATACCCCAAATCTTCCTCTCCTTTGGAAGTCCCCAAGCCACTACACCCCCCTGTATATGACGCTCTGGATTGCTGACCACGGGGCTGCCCTATCCAAGCCCAGCAGTGCTCCCTCCCATGGATGCATAAAAACCCACAGAATCCATCAGAAGCTCAGATCGGCTCTGGCATCAAGACACAGAGACCACTCCTGGCTCGGCTTCCTCACCTCCAACAACAGTCTTCTCTCCACGCTGCTCTCCAAACATACCCCATCTCCTACATCAGCGTCCCCACAACGGAGCCACTGGGGAATCTTTGGTCCAGGAGAAAGAGCACCTACGCATCTTCAGTCAGAACATATCTCCCACAAGTGTCCCATGTACCAGGCACTCAGGGGGCACGTGGGCTACAAAGACCTGTGCAAATCTGCTGCTGTAGGTCCTACCGACAAGAGCAAACCAAGTGGGCCAGTGGGATCAGGACAACCTAGCTTCACCCGCGGGGCAACATCAACATGGGCCGTCCCTCATCCCTGAGCAGCTTAGGAGGGCTCTTTCTGATCCAAGTTAGATTCTTCCTCTCAGTGTCCTGATATTTCACGGGGGTGCATTTCTAGTTAGACTCGCAACGTTGCCCGAGTTTGACAGTGAAAGGTTGTACATAGTGTTTATCTAGCTATTTTTGATATAAATTGGAATCGAGGTAGGAGGTACACAAAGAAGTGCCAGAAGCACTAGTATAGTGAGGAGGGGACTCGGCGGGGGGTGTTGCTGTTGTTTTGGGGGTGGCGGGAAGAAGGGTCCATTCCAGGCAACATTAGTGCCCCACAGAGAGCCCAGTGCCCACGGGCTCCTTGGTTGTGAATCAAGCCCCAGCCTCACACTCCCTGTGCACAGACTACCACTGAATCACACATCCACAGCTTCCCAGGAAATAAAGAACTGTGGCAAATGCCCAGTTCCACCTGAAATGTAGCATCCCTCGAGTAAAACAATTCCATTTCACACATGTCCGAAGCAAAACCTCACTCCATGCAAGGCGACCTCATATTTCTTACCGAAAACAAGTGGTTTGGTAATGGCCCCCAAAACCTTCTGGTGACGAAATCTTTCTGGAATAAAACAGAAGGAAATAGAGGAAGTTACTTGGGTTTCCGAAAAGACACGGGTGTTCGTACAGAGCCCTTCCAAGCATAGACATTTGAATGAGTGAGAGGTTTTGAATTACCTGTAAAAGTGACCCGATTATAATTCTAATGAGATGATCACAAATTACCAGAAACAAATAATTAAAATGTTTCGTTAGCCATTCCTTACATAATTATTGCCTTAAGAACGTCGTGTTGGGCAAATAAAGCAATGGTTTGTGTATCACTCTGGAAGGAGAGACTATCCGCATTTTAATGAAGCGCCTCAAAGCCCTCATGAATATGTATTTCCCCACAACAAAGCTTGACCCCACGAGTGTGCAGAGCCGGTATTCTGGGACACTTTCAGAGGGAGGTGGGTGTGCCTATGGGAGCTGGAGGGGGGTGAAGAGAGATTAAAGCAAAGAGAAAGAAAAGCGGGCCACCGTGCATTTCCTCTGCCCAAGTCCACAGCCCTCACCCTTCCTCCTAGGCAAGGGGGGGTTCACAAAGAGAACAGAAAAGAGGCCATCAGGTTTCACACTCCTCTTGGACAGCGAAAGCTTTGCAGATGAAAGCTCAAGACGAAGTTTGATATATCCTATGTTCCATGGCTCAAGGTGAGGCCCTGGGTTGGATCAGGAATTCAAGGTGGGGGCAGCAGATGGTCAGAGAGCGGGAAGCCTGGGGTGGTGCAAGAGGAGGGGGATTTCTTGGTCTGAAACATCACATCCAAATTCCTCTTTTTCCCAATATAAAACAGTATGTTAACTATACTGGAATTTAAATTAAAAAAAAAAAATGCTCTTCTCCCTCCAATTTGGCTAAAGACACAAGGCATTATAAAGGAATGTCTTTGTTCCTTTTAAAACCACACCAATGGCAGCCTCCTCCCTGGGGCCACATCAGCTGGGAACAGAAGGTCTAAGAGCATTTCATGAATAGCTGTGCTGGCTGGACAGTTCACCTTCAGTCTGGTCCCAGGGTCTGAAGTCACAGGGATGACATCATTCTTCGGGGAAGGTAATAGGGTCTTGGCTCTTGGCACGGGCAGACAAAGGCTTCTACTTTATCACAAAAGTCTAACCTGGACCCAGTGTTGACTTTCTTTTAATGAGAGTCACTCTCATTTCCCTAGACAGACATTTCTAACCATGGGTTTTAATCAGGGAATTTGGGGGAGTTCCCTGCCACCCCAAACTGGCCCACTGCAGAAGCCTCTAGTCCAGACATTTAAAAAAAGGATTGGCTCTCCCTTAGAAGGCTGAAGATGCTTTCATTCTGACCAAGCCGTTTGTATATCTGTAATCTGCTTGCCTCTGCTCAGGGGGAACTCAGCATCCACACAGTTGTCCAATTTCTTCCAAAGGTATGGTGCTTCTCTTGCCTTTCCAATGCCTTTACACCATCGGCCCATTTCATCACATGTCCATCACAAGCATGGACAGTAAGATCAATCTCAAAGGTGGCTGGGAAGGTGGATGCCACAAATACCCCAAAACACTGCCTGGGAACCCATTAGCATCAACCAGTATTTCCTTCTTTACCCCCAAGCCCCACCATCCCAGGACCTCCAAAAAAAAGTGATGTCAGGGTTGGTACACACGCTAAATGCTGCGTCCAGAGGCAAGAACATCTTCCCTAGTGGTCCTAAGACAGGGCCTCAATTCCTTACTCTGTTACAAGTTGGCTCTATAAACCCAAGCAGGTCAGTGAGAAAGACCTCTGTCCTCTTCCAGAATCCCCTATTCCAGCTCTGGGCAATTTTGACCAAGAGGACTGCAGGGAAAAGCCCAGAAGCCCTGGACTACCAACACAGGCTAGAATTCTCCCCACGTGTCCCCCATGTTCTCACCTCCCCTTCTCAGGTCCACAGCCACCTGCATTGCCCAGAGCCACGGTGGGCCTATGGAAATGACCACGTGCCCACCCATTTCCTCCCATCCCAGAAGCACCTCGGGGAAACTCAGAGCTAGTCTGCAGGCTCAGCTGGCCTTTCTGGCCTTGGAGGTGAGGCTTGCCCCGTTGCTCTACCTGGAGGAAGGAGCCACAGTTCTTCCTCTGCCTGCCCTCAGCCTGCGAGTCTCTCAAAAGGACAAGAGTCTCATTCATCTGTAGCCTGAGCATCCCCCAGAAGCTCCACACAGATTCCCCACAAAGACACAGAATCCTCAAGCTGCCTTGGAAAAAAGGGCAGAGCTGTGCACTTTACATAACGCTTTTCCATAGGAGGAAACAGGCCCACATCTTAACTCAATTTAGAATCGGTTTTTAAGCGTCTATTTATAGGCATCACACAAGTACCCCTTGTGGATGGTGGAGGAATCAGGGCTCTGGGCTCTGGTCCACCACTACTCATTAGCATTCTTTTCATGTTTGTCTTCTCTAATTTCCCCAGCAGCATTTTAACTCAATAGCAAGGTCACCTACCACTTGGACCTAGCACCACTTTCCATTTCCTCCAAAGAAAAATATGAATTTTCTTGGCCATGCAGCAGTGCCCTCTCCCCGCCCTCTCGGGGTCCCTCGCTTGCGTTGGCAAAAGCAGGGTTGTGTTATTCTTAGTGAACTGTGTTTCTGGACAGACGGTTCACCTTCAAAAAACCAACAAAGTCATGAGCGCAGAGCCCTGGGAAGGCCCTTGGGGGTCAGCTGGTCCCTGCTGGCCCTGAGTCCCCCACCTGGCCAGAGATACCCAGGGAGAGCCTGCTCCCGTTCCAGCAGCCAGATGAACACAGAGAATCACCGACACTTCAGAACAACCCAGTCTTCTCTTCTCGGCCGTGTACGGCCTGGCCGTTCCTACTTCTACCAAACACACATCCCCATCCTCTTTCTACCCTCTCTGGAGGCATCAAGGGCCGCCAGGTCCCTTCCCCTGTTTCTCTTGGCTACTAGTGATCGGGCAGAAATCCCAGAGCCTGCTCTTCTTCTGGTAATGCACAGCCATTTTTGGAATAATCTCCTCATCCTTATCAAGCCCCAGACTGGCAATGAAGTCCACAGGTCTCCCCATAAGATGTAAACACTCCACTTTCCAAGTTGCTGTCCCACCCACAAGTTATTTGGGGGGAGTAGGAGGGTGGCTTATCCTGTATTCCAGCTTGCCAGGGGAGGCGGGAAATACAAAGCCATAGGAACCTGGGAGATTCCACGAAGGCTCCTTCTGTCCGCATGCTGACGACTGGATTCTCCGGGGTCCAGAGACCCCAGGCCCTTGGAACCAGTACAGAAGGGAAGGTGGGCCCTCGCCTGGGCCACTGAATCCACAGCAGAACTCAGGCACAGAGAACACTGCCAATAAACAGCCCTCCAGCTGCCTGACTTGAAAATACCATGTGGCTCGGTTCTCCTACGACTACTGTTGCCGAGGCAGGCGGTTGGTACTCGGTGTCAGGATTAATTAACTTTCTCACAGGATGCCCACCACAACCGCCGCTGTCGGTTCTCTGTTATTGGACATGCACATCTCTGGCAATCAACTGGAGCTCTGATCACACCGAGCCTTTGAAAGGCTCTTGGGAGGCAAACAGAAATCCGAAACATGGCTTCGAGTGGACGGTTCATAAATCTGCTGCTCACCTTTGATATTAGGCCAGGGGAGGCGGTGGGAGGCCCCAACTCCACAAGCCATCCTCGGGGCCCACTAGCGGCCCGCATGGTTGGGGAGGGGGCCCCCGAGGCAGGAAGCCCCTGAGGCGAAGAGAACTTCCACGGGCCCTGAGAGAGCAGCTCAAGCAAGCCTCCACCCAGAGCCGGAGAGACGGGCCCTACAGCAGGGACGGTGCTGGGCCAGGGGACACGCAGGTCACAACCAGACTTTATAAGCACTTTTTCTTGGCAAAGTGAAGGCAACACTCACAGTCAGATGGGCTCCCAGGCCTGGAAGCTGCCCTGGGAGGAAGCCTGGCACAGAGGCAGACAGAGGTGGACGTGTCCAGGGCCGAGGCAGGAAGTGTGCCTGGAGGCCAGAAGGCTGATCTCACATGCTAACCAAGTGGCCAGGGACCTGCATGGCGGAAGCACGTTTCCTGGAAGCAAATAGGCAACCCTGTCCTTTATAAGAGGCTGGGCCCTGGGCACATGGGTTTGGGGCTGTGGCTGGATCGTAGAATAAGTAGAATTTGATGAGCAATAAGGACCCAGATTCAGTGAAATGCTTGCCGATGGAAGACTCGGGCCACACTGAGCAGAGGGTCTGGGACAGGGCTGGGAAGGGTCTGCTCAGAGCACCATGGCCAGAATGATGGGGGAGAAAGCTCAGGCTGCATCAAAGGCAGGGCGCATCAGCTGCACCCTGTACCCAGCTCGGGCGTGGTTCTTTCTAGTACCAGCCCAGTGGCTGCAGCCGGCACCGAAAGCCAGGCGCTCATGGGGCTGTCAGTACCTCTGCATGATGGAGAGCTTGGAATAGGAGTTCACACTCCCGTGGCCTTCATGGGCCAGCCCAGGGGGCCATGGAGCTCATCTGCACTGCGCTGCCTCCCAGAGGGGAACAGGCAGCCAGCAGAGGTCAGCATCTGGCAGAGAAGCTGCCGCAGGAAAAGGCCTCCTGGGACCTGGTACTATAGCTCCACCAAGCTGCCCCTGGGGGATGCAGCATGAGTAGCCCAGCGTCCCCACAGGTATGGCTGGAACCGCACAGTAGGATTTTGTGGGGGTGTGGATGCTCCCCCAGGTTTACCGTGGGGCTGGGGCAGGGGTTCTGCTGTTTCCTGATGGGAAGGACTCACCGGGACAGTGCTCAGTTGGGCACAGCAGGGTCATTCCAAGGGAAAGAAAGAGGGCCCTTAGGAAACATTTCGAGTACTGGTCACAGACCAACTATAGTGGGGAAACGGGGGTTGGGCTCAGAGAGGGGCTCCAGGTCCTCAGAGCCATATAAACAGAAAGGATGCAGCCCAGGTTATGGGGGAAGGGGCCAGGGGAGCAGTGATGGGAAAGTTGGGGGATCTTCCAGCTTGAGTGGACACCAATGGGCTGTT